TCAAATCACATCTATCTGCATTAATGGATACTCTAAGGCAGCAGTGGCATCTTCCAGCTTCTGATGACCTGAACACACCTGATCCAGGTAATCAGCAGCGAGCACGGCAGGGATAGCTGGAAAACAAGCAGGGCAGCGGCCCTCGAGGACCAGGATTGCCTACCCATGAGCTAAGGTATGTGGGAAAAGTAGATTAAAATCAACTAGCAGGGTTTAAAAGCATTTCAGACACATGGGTATACTGTCATTTACATACTCATTTATGATATTTTGGATAGTTTTACAATCTATTTTTTACTGGGGTCTTGAGATGCACTCTGAGTTGTGCTTGAATATTTTAAAATATTTTATTCTTACTTGAACAGCTTTTTGTCAAGTATTGTACTTCCCTACATTTAAAGTTTCAACTGTTAACAATGTCAAATCAAAAGTCACACGGAATGGAACACAATGGAACAAAAAGGAGCCAAAGCAGCAGCTGCAGCAGAGAAGGATTCGCTGCTGGTAGGTCTGCAGCTGCCGGAGAGGGAGAGCTCCGTGTTCAGACAGGTGCCGCTCTCAGCTCATAATCCAGATACATGCTGTAAATTTGTATATTCACCAACCGAGTGTCAGGGAATGTAAATTCGCTCCTTGGCTAGGCCACAAATGCACAACAATGCAAAAAAGTTAACAACTGTGCCATTATGGGGCCACGGTTTGCATTAGCATTCCATTGGTATAGGCAGAAAAAAGGGTGCATCTGTCTTAGTGATGCTTAGTCTGCCATTTAAGAAGTGTCAGGCCACTGGTTTAGGAAGCATAATTTTACTAGAGAGTGTCTGTGACCATTTATTGCTGGTTATTTTTGTGTAATTGTCTGGGTTTTGTCTTATTCCTGGATTTTAAAAGGTTAAAGTAAAGGATAAAACTGCTGTCGGTGCGGTTGACGAGCAGGGCGGTAAAAGCCAGAGGCATGCTGAGTAAATGAGTGTTGGCAGGCTCGGTGTCAGTCTAAATCCTTTGTCTGTGGGCCTACTTGTTCTGATGACGGTGACCGCCGCTGTCACAGTGGAGAGGAGCCAGGCGGCCTTGGAAAATAAGCTTGGCGCCTCTGACAAATTGTCAAGGCGGCTCCCCCTGCTGGGCGCTCACTGTGCTTGCAACAAAAGAGAGACCCCCAGCTTTCTCCCTCACTCTCTCTTTATCTCTCTCTCTCTCTCTCGTCGTTCTCCCTTTCTCTGTCTCCAATCCATCACTCTCCCCAGTGTATAGCTCCCCCCTTTTCATTCCCAGAATACGAGAACAAAGACAAAAGGTGCATTAGAACAGGGGAACAGTACGGGCCACCCAGAGACTCAATACAGCAGCCGAGGTGCTGCAGGAACAACGAGGCCAGGTGGCGGGGGCGAAGAGAGAGAGACGGAGCGTCTGTGTGTGAGAACCGCACGACCCCGAGGCACCCACTCCCCACCTGTTCGCACACATTCACAAATGTACACATGAATCCTTACAGTACTCCATCTCAGTTCAAGTTCAGTTCAGTTTAGAATTTGCTTCATTTACTGCATAAGACCCTCAATATACACATGGTGCATGCACCCTTATAGCATTAATGCTAAAGTCAACAAAGTTTCTATCAGGTTTACTGTACGAACAGCTCCAGCCAGCTGCAGCAGAGCAGTATCCCCTCTGAGCGACTGTCACTGGAAAATGCTGTACAAATGCAATAACAGATGAGTTCAAATCTGTTACTGCATTTGTACAACAGTATCACAATTTCACAATTCCTCTGTAAAATACTAGAGTGCTGTGTACAGTATGTGTTCATGTTTTTCTGTCAGTACTCTGCCAGTTTGTGTGCCAAATGTCAGACTTTAAACAGTATTTAACCCTATAAAATCATTTGTATCATATTTGATACTTGAGGTTTCTGAGCAAAGAAAATCACCAAAAATGCCCCATGTATCAAATGTAATACAAAAGAAATAGAAATAATCTAAATAATATGGCACCTCTATTCCTATATGCCTGGACTGTCTGTCTATGCATATATGGCAAATAAAAATCATGAATCTTGAATTTTGAATCATGAATTATATTTTGGATTTTGTTAAAAGGTTTAATAAACATCTCAGTTCCAAAAATTAGAATGTTCTGGCTATTTTTTGATGTGTCAGGCTTTACAGGGTTAAATATATTGAGTACTTGTACAAGATTTCTTCACTTTTTTGTTTGAGCTCTCGCCACTGTCCACAGTCTTTTTTGCTGTTGTTTTCAAGTGTTTCATCATGGAACTACTGTACTGTGTACTTTAAGTTTGAGAGTATACTTTATTGTGACATTTTCCCACAATAAACAAACAACTTACCTAAAACACGAGTTAGATTAGAATATAGCAGTAGCTGTGAGAGCTTCCAAAGGAGATCTATGATAAAAGAAGTATAAAAACTAAAAGTATAAAACTGGGACAATGGAAATTTTGGCAATTTGTTATCTATTATGCCCCAGTTTTGTATTGATTTTGCTTTGAAAGACTTCAAATAACTCAAGGAGATCACTGATTTGGTACAGCAGGTCAAAGGGTGAGGGAAAGGGGGCTTGTACTTTGATGAGAGTACATGTACAATGTAGTATACTGTCTGTATACTGAATGCAACCCCCAGCAGTGTCAACTGCAAACTAGTGCAGTAGCCCTTGTTTTGTTGCTGCAGCACAGTACACTGAAAAAATTCCCAACCTACTGCAAAGTCACCTGTGGGGGGTAAAATATAGCAACAACTCTGAAAAGGGACAGGGATGTGGGGGGGTTCGGAAAGTGACAGACAAAGACAGAGAAAAGGAGAGGACAAACAGTTTGAGACAAACTAGGAAGGAGGCATTCTGAAAAGGACACAGGAAGGAACCGAGGAATGGAGGCAAAGAAATAGACAGTGACAATGAGCGAGCGACAGAAGACGACTCAGAGAGAGAGTGAGCGAGGCTTCAGGCAGAGTTCAGGCTCATTACTAAATGATTGCAGTTAGCGGCAGCTCGACTCCGACACGTCGATAACACAGACATGCAGCGCTCATTGCCATCTTCCCCTCCAGAGCAGGAAAAATGTTGACAGAATGAAACGGAGGTGGCGTCCTTGGACCTCTGCTCTGTAAGGGCGATGTTTTGTCTTCCTTTCTTCACTTCTGATTTGATGCCTTGTGCCGCTGGAAAGTCTGTGTTTTGATCCCACCTGTTTGCCCTCTCCGAACTGACACGCTGAGGGTAACTGTGGAGGAGGCGACGCAGCTCCACTTCTCTGATGAATATTTTTAGTATGTGATGCTTGCCTTCAAGAAAATTGCCACCCACTCGAGCCTACAGGTAGAAAATGGTGGTTGTGAAGGTAAAGCACACTATGGACACTATGACTCATCCATAGGCCATTTCTTCTGCAGTATTTCTAGTCTCAGTATACAGTCCTTTCTGATTGACACAGTGCTAAATTTTAAGTTTTTAACTGTAATTCTTAATGTAATTCAACTGCCAGGCTGTCTGGCAGCTGGCACGGTGACATGTCCAGAGATGCTGTTACATTACCGGGCAAAGAGACTTTTAGAAGGACATTATAAGCACTGAGATGCTGCATTAGCTTCCTGCACACAGTGCTGAAGCTATGACTGTGTCTACATGTACTACAGATTGTGTTGTACCAATCCTGACAACCCTCTCACATTACAAGGACTCAGATCCATGACGCTGCTATGATGTTTAAGGATAGGGCTAAAGAACTAATGCAGTCAAGTTAAACACTCTAAAGAAAGTGCGACAAGTTTGAGAGTGTTTGTATTTAATCTTTGTCTATGATCTTTACTTTTGACAGCCAAAGTAGACAACTACAAATAGTTGTAATTTGTTTACATAGCTGAAATCTCATTGCTTCATGTATGCTAACGTGTCCTTGCAAACCCAGCAGAGTGGCATCTTTATCCAGTCAGAGCTGTAATTTGTTTCAACAGCTCCTCCAACCTACACAACCCATAAGGTCATTTGTCTCTTCCCTCTCATACGACCCATGGGGACGTCCCTTTAACCAGCACTCCTACAGTGGTGAGAGAAACTACAACAATCCCACCAAAAATATGTGAGACGACCAAGCTTTAGGAGCTTTGACTTCATGGAAACATATTTTACATATTTTTTATTTACTATTCATGACAGACATTATTAATACAGCTGTATGCCTCCGCTAACCAGTCAAGTTCATGGGAATGGGACAGATGTGAGGTCACAGTGACCTTGACCTTTGACCACCAAAATCTAATCAGGTGATCCTCGAGTCCAAGTGGACGCTTGTGCCAAGTTTTAAGAAATTCCCTCAAAGTGTTCCTGAGATATTGTGTTCACAGGAATGGGCTGGGCAGACGGATGGACACCCTGAAAACATACAGGTAATGACCCTGGCCACAGGGAGACAAAATAAAACTAATCAGTGGATCTTTAAGGGAACTGTGACAACCAGTAACTGGTTTATAGAGTATTTACCTGTTTTCTGATTGTTGTGATTGTGATTTCGTTTAAACAAACAGACTGAAACACATCCGTGTATTTTTGCACCTTGTTCTGTGCAGTGATGACTGCACTATTATCTATGCAGCACCGTGTGAAAGGCTGCTGTATGTTTGAATGAGGGAATTCTCCACTTACACTGGATTTGTGCTTCTGGAAAAACCTGTGTGATGTGAAAGTTGTCACTTCAGCATGCTGGCTGTGTTTGGAACAGCTGTTATTTATTGGCATTTTTCCCCAGAACAGGTGCGGCCTGATCAACATTCCGCAATAGCAATGGATTATTCAGTGCAGCAGCAAATAGTAAATGTGCAGGTTGTGGTTTCAATGATATTCTACCACGCAGATGGACAAATGAATGGTTTACACCTCCAGCTTTTGATTAGATGGTGCTCACTCTATGAGAGCAAAGGAAGGTGCATATGTGTGTTTTCCTGCTGGAGGGTCACTGACAAAGAAAAAGCAGCTATACGTACGAAAGCTCAGCAAAGTCAGTCATCTGGATTTTGGCCCTGCGAGCCAGGATCTCCATCAGGTGAAGGCCTTCATCTGTCTGGAGAACACTGGTGACGGTGACGAGGAAGCAGGGAGGAAGAGTTGAAGAGTGGAGGACAGATAGGAAAGGAGGGACAGAGTGAGGAGGTCAGGAGGAGACAGGGAGAACAAACAGAAGTCATTAAACAAACTAATACAGAAGCCAGACTTAATCAAAATCAATATTGTATCATATGTCAAACTTCCTGGGAAACTGGTTAAAACTTAACTTCAACTTCATCACACCATCCACTATATTTTAGATAATAATAACCTTTATTTGGCCAAGTATGTTACACATAAGGAACTTGTTTCCGGTACAGAACCAAGGCAGTCATCCGCGGCGCCAACTCACACCGATGACTGTAACCATCGGGGGCAACTTGGGGGTTCAGTGTCTTCCCCAAGGACACTTCAACACATGAACTGCAGGCACTGAGATTTGAACCTCCAACCCTCCGGTTCAGACATGAGTACGCTACCCACTGAACCACAGTCACAGCTCGACACAAGCAGGCGAAAAAATCACGAGTGGTTTTGGACGGGGGGGTCTAAACTCGTGGTATCTAGAAGGCAACAGACAGGTGTGTGTGACAACAGACAGCCAATGTTGTTAAAGCCATTGCTCTCAATAACTGGACGACACCGTCATGCTTTGGCCAAGCGTCTGTGTATCGTTAATTAATAAGTTTCATTTACCATAAAAACCAAAACCAAAACTATATACTGTACAAATAGAGGTGATTTTTCTCTGCTCAGCAACGTTATGAAACATTGATGTACATGAAGTACACACAAAAGATTAGGCAAAATAGTTTTTCTTACATTCATGCAACTAAAATTCAGGACCTGTTTAGATTAGACTTGTATTTTGTGGGGATGTCAGACAAACAATGCAGGGGGCGAATTGAATTCTTTGAAATTCAAATGTGTAACAAAACAAAAGCTGTACAATTTGTACTTTACTGTAGCAAGAGAAAACCTGCACTTTGTGCTAAATCTGTTTCTCTGTAGAATCCACTCCTGCCTTCATTTATTATGACAGGCGGATAACAGAAGATCCGAGGAAGACAGCAAAGAAAAGAAGAGGCTGACATGGCAGCTGGGCGCTATAAGAGCAGTCAGAGCAGATACTAAAAATCTCCCGACATCTCAGGGTAATGTCAGACATGTAAAATAATGAAACAAAAACCCCCAGTCTTTCCACAGAAGCTCCCAGTTGCGGTCAGAGAGGTGGGAGGTGCAGCACGGTGGTGAGGAGAATACTGAAGAGGTGAGGAAGGTTGTGATCATCACTCCCTCTTCCCTTATTTTAAGCTCTACAGGGTTGGCTGTGAAGGGGTCAGAGATGAAACACCTCCATGCAACTACTTACAAAATGAGTTTGGCAGAACTCCATGAGGACTCTCTTCTTCAACCGATTTTAAAATATGAATAGTCCCAAAACTACGCTGTCAGATCAACATGCCTTATTCACTACCACGACTTTTAGTACCGATATTTTGCTGATGCTCACATGGCAGCTTATTTAAAAAGAGAAGCCCACTAAAATATTAAAATGGTAATGAGATGGAGGAACAACCAATTAAAAGAGCCTTGGTTCATGCGCTGGCAGGATGGAGACAGCATTTGTGTGTGTTTAGTGGGTCTTTGTGTGTGCGATGGCAAATTACAGTTCAATACCCCGACTGCAGGCTAATTGCTTCCTATCTGCTCTGGACTCGTCTGACCTTCCCTCAGCTCCTTCTGCTAAATTCAAATGCAGAAAAAATCTGCCTCCAGATGCACAATATCTCCTTCAGCACCAGGCACTGTGATGCTGATGACAAAGAAAACGGAAAGAAACATGTCACCAGCTGTGCAAATCACTCACTTTTTCGATAATATTAACTGTGGGAGTTAACAGTTGTCTACTTCCTTGTTTCTCCATGGTTGGTGCTCAGCACCCGCTGCATTTTCTCAGCACTATTTAAATGGGAAGATTATCTTTTTTGTTTGTTTGTTTTTTGGTCATTTGTACTACCTGACACTTTAGAATTAAAATCTTTATGACTGTCCTGTCTGTATCTGTGGGCGGCATGGTGACGTAGTGATTAGCACTGCTGCCTCACACCAAGAAGGTTTCGGGTTCAAACCCCGGTCTCTCACTCAGTGCTAGCTGGGATTGGCTCCAGCCCCCCGTGAATAGATAATGGATGGAACTTTGTATATCTATCCTAAAAATTCTAGTCGTGGTTGATTTGGTGACACCTGCGTGTTATATTTACACAGAACATGGAAATGGCACTTAATGTAAAATGAAACGTACTGATGTCAGAGTAGTTAAACTAACCAAGCTGCATGAGATCAAAAACATAAATTCCACAGCCTTCTAAAAAATATCAATGTCCTAACTGGTTTGATACAAGGGCACAGGGAGCTAATAATTTAATAGTAATGTACTGATATCCAAAATGAAACATTACTTTACCACTGGGGATAGTAAACACCTCAACTTTCAATAAAGAAGACTAAAAGGCCTTCAACAAGTACACCTTCCAATGACCAGCACACATTTGTGCCCCACGTGTATGGTACAGATGGGAGTTCCATCTATAAAGAGGTAATTACTGTATGTAAAAACATCAAAAGATGTCCATCACAAAATGGGGCTTTTACAGTGAAATTTATAGTGAAGCTTTATTATTTTAACAGATTTTCTCATAATAAGAGTATATGGCAGAGTCTGGGTGAAACTTGGTTAAAAAAAATAAATAAAATCTGGATTGCCGAGGTATAAGTACTGTATATAGTATATATACTATAGTATAACGGGTTCTGCAGCTTCACAGCCCACAGTCAGTCGTCCTCAGTGCAGAGCGGCTGCTTCATATGCAACACCAGTGTTCAGTCTGCAGACCCTGAATGCTGAGAGCTGCATCAGGGGCCTCACAGCAGCTGCAACGCTACAGCATACAGTACACTGGGTCGCGATTCTTCTCGCACAGAACAGCCTTAACAGCTGGATTTCTTTTCTCATGCAGAGCGGCTTTTGAATTTAACCACTTTGCTCTAACACAAGTTTGCCTGGTAACAAAACAAGAGCCAGCACTGTCCAGTGTTTCTTCCAGTGCAAAGCAACACAAACACCTCTGTTGTTTCCCAGAAAGTGAGAACAGCAGCAACTACCACAGCTACAGCACCTCCTAAAGCAACTTTGGATCCAAAGGTAATGGTGGGACTTCCTCCAAAAACACTTTTTAATTTAGAGTGTAAGAGCCCTACATCTACCTCTGAAGCTGCTGCAGCTACTAAACACCTTATGAGAAAGTCACCATCATATACAACAGGTACAGGGGAAATTATTAGTAAATACAGTATGACACCACTTTGAAAAAAACACATTTGGTTTAATATATCATTTTGCAACTTACTGCTAAATTAAAACATGCATGTAGTATAAAATTCAAGAATGATGAAAAAGATGCATGTACGTTTTAGACAATCCCCTGTACTGCCTGTTTATTAATGAAGCTATTTAAACTGAATGTAGTTCAAATGATCCTGGAAAAAAATGATAGGTTTTCCATCCAGTTACTAAGATGCAATTCACCACAGTGACATACATCATGATTCTTGTGGTGTGTGGGAGAAAATGCATTTACAGGTTGAAGGGTTACAGGGTGTCAAACACAGTGTGTGTCTGCCTGCCCATACGTGTGTGAGTTTGAGTTGGGGAGCAGGTGTTTTCCTCCGGCTGTGATGAATCACCCTGTCCTCCTCCTCTCCCCAGGCCACAGGATCAGTTGATACGCTCAGGCTGCTCGTCAGTTCCTGCAATCAGCCTTCACCTCTGCTACAGTGCCACAGTATCAAAACTCTTCATCTAATCTGTTTATTAAAGCTGCAGTCCTGCACTGATGCTTACAGTTTCATTTGTGTTAGCATAGCGCTGTGTTTGGAAGGAAGTGCACTTCACTTCTATACGAGCAGTTGAAATCACAAAAAATACTACATACGTATATCCTTCCTTCAGAGCTGTGGCTTAGCATGTCTGTATTCTGATGGAGAACTTTAACAACCCATGTTTAGTCTGCAAGAAAACTGACAGCCCAGAGAGCTGGTGAACAACTCACTGCACTCAGTGGTCTGTACTGAAGCCCTGAGTGCGACACCACAGTGATGTTTTCCCTCTACAACATCAGTGACAATTACGACTTTTTTGCTGTAAAAAAATGTGCCACAAAAGCCTCGAGCCAGATTTGCACCTGTTGCAGGGACAAGATCTGTGAAGTAGTTTCAAAACCAAACTTGACTAAGGCACGAAGAGATCAGTTTGAAAAAAAAAATCCGCCCTTGGTGTGAATTAAAAATTGAAATTGAATAAGAGTGAAGGACAGAGACGTCCTACATGGTGATCTGACATCGACCTTCACAGTATGAAAGGCAGGTTCACCTGTTTCATAATGTATGGAAAACTACATTTTTCCATTACTGCAGCCAAGGAAACAGAAGGTTTATATTTATTGGGTTAACACATTTCCTGCCTCCATCACTGCGAAAATTAAAACTGTGATCATTACTGTGGATTGTTCTAAACAAATACAAATGGAAATGCATGTGTAGAATATCTTGTCAGAGATGAGCTTATAATGTTTAGGGTCTGGGGGCTGTTTAAGAGAGAACTATGCAGTGGATCCTTTCCCGGTCAGGGGGCGGTTCAGAGCTGCATAACACTAGTAATAATAAAATAATAACAATAACTCAAAACATATCATAATCGTACTACTGTCCTGGCCCATTCTGGGTACTACTTGTCTGTTTTCCCAATTCACCTCTCCTCCAGACCTACTTGTATACTCACAGCTCGCTGCCCGGCCCACTCCATTTTTATAAAGGTAAACAAACCTGCACAACACACCCTCACACCTGTACTTTCAGTATATGCACTGATATCCGTCTGTTAATGTCCTGTAGCCACTGTTTTGTCTTCCATGTCCCGTTCTATTAACGTCATACATCTTCTGTTGTAATTAAGAAAATCAGCTCTTTAAAACCCAGAAACATTGAAACTGGGCAATAACCTAAGATCCGTTAGGTTCTAATCAATATTTTAACCAAGTCGTACTCACTCTGTGTCTGTGATGACATAACCAAAGACATCATCATCAGCCTTCTTCCTGCCACCTTTAACGTCCAGCTGAAGCTCGGGAACGTGCATCATCTTCTTATGTGGTTCTTCGTAGACAACTGATGCAGGAGGGGGCGCCACCTCCTTGATCCAGCCTTCCAGCTCCGACACCTCCTCCACAGACTGGGTGGTATCCTTCTTCTGCACCGCCACTCCGGCCTCACTGGTCCGACTCTGGACGTTTTCCAGCCCCGCCTGATGGACTCTGGGTGTCTCCATGGCAACACTGCTCTGATCTCTCACTGAAGTTGAGGCGTTGAAGGAACTGTTGTCCAGGTAGGCAAGGAGTTTGGCAAAGAGAGTCCCACGCTCAGGCTGAAGACGTAACAAGGGGTGAGCCAACAAAGCTGAAGTTAAAGTGTGCAAAGCCAAAGTTCCCGTTTTCCATTTAACAAACTGGTGATCTTAAACTTGTTCCTCTAAAATCTCACAAAGCAGGAATATCTACTGAGGTCCATGTGAAACTTTCAAAGGTGATTTAATTTACTGTGCTTGATTATCACTTATCTCAGCACTGGCTGGGGGCGAGTGTGTATTCTAAGATTTTACAGCTGCAGTAATACTTTAGACACAAATGAGCTTTCAATTTAGAGAAAGCCTTTTCTGTTTAAACAAGAAGTGGTAATGTGCACAGGGTCAAGAACATGAAGTATTTTATTTGTTTTTATATTTTTTTCCTGTTCAACACCTGGAGGATGAACCGGAGCAGTGGCTTGGAGCCGGGTCTCATCGTCCAACATCAGTGCTGGACTTCACTAATACTCTTATGACTGAATAGGAGCAAATGGCAGCAGCAGGTGGAGCTGACAGGCAGGTGCACCATGGACAGGTCACCGATAGTCGACAGATTAATCTTCAGATTCAAACCGTCACTGTGTCGTGAGGCTTCCAGTATTGATGTTACTCATATTCTATTAGTGCATGTTCCCAGATTTCTAATGAAACATTAATGCAGTGCTGTGAAAATCATTTAAATGCGGGAAAATTTCAATTAATGTTGGCTATCATCACCATGCTTTGTCCTTAAATACTTCTAGATGTGACTTTCATAAATTATCAGAAATTTAATTCTATGCCGTTGGCAGGTAAAGTTATATAAGAGCTCAACGTCATGAAAAATGATTTGAATTTCAAAAACTTTGAACACATCTGTGAGAATAATTAGTTAGGGGTAAATCTTTATAAAGACACATACAGACACCAGACCTAAGTAATGAGGCTTTGTTCAATCAGAATCTTTTGTCTAAATGGCAGAAACTGAACTGGTGGGAGTTTTCCCATTGGTAGTGTCAGTGTGTTGGCGATCTCCAGCTACAAGCATGAGGAATTAATTGCCTTGAGTCAAAGAACAGCCAACCTGTCAAGAGTTTATACTGAACAGGATTATAATATGCTATTATTCGTCTGTGAAAAGCTTCAGGGTAATTGCTTGTCTTGTCAAGACCCTGAAGCCAACAGAAGCTAAACAATGCTACCTGAAACAAAAACTTACTTTGATTAAACTTGTTCTCTTAGCACAAAAATTTTCTTCACACTTTCAAGTATCATCAACCCACAAAGAACTTCTCGTGCAGTACTTGCCATGCCGGTGCCAGGCACAGGAACATGTCACCTGTATGAACCCCTGATATGAACCAGGCGTCTTTTCTTATGCTCAGCTTTCAATTTACAATCAGAATGATTTTACTGCTTATGAAAAGACCTGATGGATTAACCTGATTTATCCACTACTACCTGCAGCTGCTTCACATTAATATCACTAGTGTTTTAGTTTTTTTTATTTGAAAGTTGCAGAAAATTATTGCTATTAATAATACTACTATAACTAAGGTTTAAGTAACAATACTATTTGTTAAAAATAAGCTGTAAAATCATTGTTAATGACAACCTGACCCCAAACCTTCTGCAGTTGGACTTGATTTACTTTTTGTGTTGTGCTGTTCCTGCTAAATTCTCAGGAGTTCTTTCACTTTTTGTTCAGTAAGTGATGTCAAACACAATTTGTCTTCTGGAGACTGTAGGCTGCAGGGCCCATTTCCCTCCTCATGCAGAATATTACATAATTGCTCATAATGTCTGACCTCCCTTTGACATTTAAGCTTTTTCCCATCACAAACTGAATTCTTACCTTGTGCTCTTCTGTATCGATGTGGTGATCTGCTGCTTGTTTCAAACAAACAGCACAGCAGCAGCAAACAACACATCAGAAGTAAACGTGCACAAGGGTCTAAAAGCCGGTTCTCCAAATTTTGTTTTTGGAAATGCAAATTCATCCTTCTTTATTATTTAATTAATATTTTCTTTGATTTTTTTTTTATTAAACACTGAAAAAAAATCAGAAGATCTACATTAGCATGTGTGCAGGGTCCTCAGCTATCATTTTCAGCCGGAGCAGTCTCAGTGGAGGACGAACTGTTAAAATTGGCGATGTTTTTACTCAGCTAAACAGGGTGCCCATTTATTTCACATTGATTTTTATGTTGCACTCCTGTGGTGAGCAATCTGAGAGCTGTTTTTGTTTAAACCTACCTACACGGTTATGCATATACTATAGACCTGCTTTCCAGCTTTTGCTCAATACTTTAATTTTGTAAAAACACAAACTGAATCACTATAAAATTACCTTGAAGTTCTGCTGGTACTATAGGCGCGCTCCCCTGTGGTTTTAGTGTTGGAGCATTCTCCAGCAACTTCTCTCCCTTATCTCTGGAAGCCTCCTCCTCATCCCCCAATTCTCCCTCCAGGTCTCTCGGTCCAGGTCTAACCCGAGTCGGACCTTTGTTTATTCTTTGGTCCTGATCGACCACCTGCAGAGCATCAGCTATCAGGCTGGATAACTGATCCAGGTCGTGTGGCGTCAGCTTGTCCACATCCACGTGCTGCCTATCAGCGTTCTTCAAAACATTCTCAATGAACTTCTCTGCAACAACACAGAGGCACAAGAACAGTGAATCAGACAAAGCCTGTCCTCACAACAATAGCACTGGTTGTTTGTTAAATTTTTAAGGTATGGTCACTTCAAATCACAATTGTTCTTCAGCTTGGAAACAGTATTTGGCAAGCAATCTAACCACAACGGTCATTTAGTTTCGGTCTCAGCCTGAATGACAGGTTCTTAATAACAATAAAAGCTCTAAAAAGCCCGCAAACAGCTGGTAGACACCATTAGAGATCAGCTGGCGAATACAGTGGAGCCAGATTTCTCCCTTAGGAGTCAGTGGAGAACAAACCCTGAGCTAAAAGAGAGTGATCATTGGGTGGGCAAACACAGCTCCAAATGTTGCTATGTAACTGCCCCATAAGCGGCTGTGTGTTAACTTTGCTAACAACAGTTATTGCAGGTTTAAGTGCTCAGAAACAGAACATTTCTATATCTACAATTTCCATAATAAGTGGACAAACTACAACTGCTAAGGCAGATGGCTGGACACCATCAAAAGCTACAGAACAGCTTGTAAATGGACCTTATGGTAAGATTGTTTTGTCAACAACTTATGGTCATATTTTCCATTATTCAAATAATGACTGTCCTTGTCATGATTCGGTTCCGCTGCTTCCTGTTCGGCTTTTATTTTGACGTTACTTCCTGTTTTTGTTTCACCTTAGTTTCGGTCTTTTTGCGTTCTTCATCACTCACATTGGTTTCACCTGTTTCGTTATTGTTTGCACCTCTATTTAGATAGCGTCCTCCCACCAGGACGCTGCCAGATTGTTCTAGACCCCAGCTCTGACTTTCCAGCATTTTCTTCGGTTT